ATCTGAGGTTAAAAAGGCAAGAACAGTGCATAACTCAAGTCCACAAACTGCTCCTCATTTCGCAACCCAATGCAAAATAAGCAGTTTGCATCCTTCCCATTCTGAATGCTCTTCAACACAAACAGCGGCAGCCCTTTTGAGAGATTTGTGGTCTCTTGGGCTAATTGACATTTAATGATGATTAAATAGGAGTTTTTTTTATTGTGACTGCGTTTCTCTCATCAGATTATGTTTCTTGATAGATAATTGCTGTGTGCTCAAATTTTCCCCACCACTTTAGTCACATGCTCCAATATGGGCTGGCCTGAGCTACCATGCTGCGGCGTATTTTGTAACTGCGATGAAGGGGTCACCCAAATGTTAAATTGAACACTCATGTGCAAATATTGTTTCAGGTGGACGCTGTGCAGATGATGAGGCACAGTGCGCCGCTACAGCCGTAGTTACACAGAGAGTGATGTCCTTCCAGGAAAGCCCCCACTTACACATGGGTAACTTCCTAAAGCTCTCTCATCCTTCACCACTCCACCCCTCCCTCTTTCTCTGAGCCCCAAATCTCCACCCACACTTGAGGACGGCGGGAGGGGGTCCACATCAAAGCAGAGATGTCAAAGGAGCAGGATTCTCAGGCACTGATGTCTGACCGTCCTGCTGATTCAACTCCTGTTCATAAAGGGGTTGCGTGGGAATTGCAGCTCTCCCGACACATAGTCACTACATTTACATGCGTACTAGAACCGTGGTTAGTGAGAGAAATCAGAGAAGACCTTTACATGCAATAACTGCAATAACCAGACTGTAAAGCCAGCAGCGTGCAGCTTGTCGGTGATTAGATGTCTCTCCTTCTCAGCATCATATATATATAACACGGCGCTGGGTTCTGTTACTGTTGGCATGATGACACTTTCCTTTGCGTGTAGTAAGTATCACCATGTACATCTGCCAAGTTATGGCTTTCAGCCATTAGGATTCTAGCTGTGTTACAATTGTTTCTTTAAAATGTAATTGTGATAATGGAGACTTGTACTGTTCGTTTTACACTATTTTACAAGATATCGGGAAAGAAAGCTCAGGGTAATTTAAGGATACTTCACCTTCAAGCATTCCTATTAAAAATGACTCACTGTGCCAGAGCTAATACAGGACTGGACCTGCAAGGAACTTTCTCCACATCAGGGCAGAAATTCTCATGGCTTCCTGCAGGAGTCTCGACCGCACGGGCCGCCAAGAATGTGGATGGCGAGGAGAAGTAGGCCATGTTTTCTATGGCTGTTTTAATGATCTCCTCAGGATATAACTGAAGTTAATGAAGTCTGTTCCATGGGGCCTTACCTTTGACCCCGCGCTCAATGCTTCTCACCCCTGTCTGTTCCAGTTTACAGTTTTGGTTTGTTGACTTTCCTTTCCTCTCATTGTTTCCCAGGAAGCGGTGAAAGCTGCAGGGATGTGTACGTACTAGTCTGTCTGTGTGTGTGTGTGTGTGTGTGTGTGCGTGTTTGTGTGTGTGTCAAAGCACAGTATTCTAGCTGTGGCTCCAGCCATGTGGAGTCTGTGTCCTTTTTTCCACACTTGTCCCGCGGTGTATTATGTGATAGCATAAGTATCGCCGCACAAGCGGTCACGTTATTATCTACCACATATCTGAAAACATGGCGTGCTGGCTTGTTTACAGTGTGTCCTGCCATGATATTGTTGTGCGGTGGGTTTCAAAACAATTAAGCGAGACCGTCTTCTCCTGCAGAATGTCCAACTGAAAGCCTTTGAAGGCTCATCTGCAGATTTGGTTATTGCACCACTTGTAGGCCACAGTTGCCACAGAAAGGGGCCACTCATTCCCAGAGGAGCCACCAGCAAACTGTTTGTGTGAGAGAAACATGAATGTAAGCTTAGCACGAGAGATCCCGGGCAGAGGGCCAAGAGCAACTCTGCGCTACGCAGGACGTTATAAAGTCGGAGCAACAGCTGATGTCTCGGGCCATGTCGTTGCACTGGTTCCCAACTCTGTGTTCAGACATCCCTGTCAAACTTGTCCTGGGAATTGGCAAGCTCAGCCCACCAGGGAAAGCAATGCGAATAGTTGCAGCGTTAGACATGAGGCCCAAGAGTCTTAACGGACAAAATCAAAGCGACTGTGCAATGAAAGACGCTTTCCTCCTGGACCCCGAATGGGCAGAGAAAACAAAACAGAGAAACCGATCTGCATTCCTCTCAGGGTAGGTATCCACAATGATTGATAGACGACCACTTTTTTTGCCAATTACAAAATAATAAAACTATTCCCATAAAAATCTATAGTTGCAACGTACGGTGCAGTGTGTTAATGCAATCACCCTGTGGGATTAATTAAGCACTCTATTTAATTATAAACCAGTATTACTACATTATGTCCATCAAGTATTAAAAGGGACTCATTTTCGAGGAACCCAACCCGAAAGAATTCTGTGAGGAGTTTCCTGAAAAGCAAATCTACTAATAAATCTAAGAAGTCTTTGTTGTTTATAAAGCATGTAGATCAGTTGACTTCCAGCCGACGATGTGTTGCACTTGCTTAAGATCATACTTCAGCTCTAAAGCCCCCAAAACTGAAGGATAGGAAGAGTTTGTGCCTTTCAGGCAGACATTGTCTGCATAGAATTTGCAACCCGAGTATTAACCATTGTTAATTCATGTTCGCTTTTGCACAAATGCCAGTAGCAAGAATTAGGTTGGACACAGCACTGCTGTTCTTACACCACACAATACAATCACAGCCGATACCACTACGGCATCGTGGCATTAAACGCTTAAGTTCAACCTAATAAGCTGCCCAACTGCAATAACAATGACCGATGCACAAATAGGTTAAATGTACCTCCAGCTGCAATGAATGTGTAAAACAAGTATCCAGTTCACCCATCTGGGAGAGTGAATAACCACAACGTTGCGTGCATCGACATATGCATCTTCTTTAGCCTTCATTAGTTCAGCTGTAAGGTTGCCATGTGTGTGTCTGCATCGCCCACGGTTTCCTGGCCAGCAGTAATGTTGTATTTGGGAACTTGGCGTGCAGTGTGTTGTGTTTTTTGAACTTGAATGTCGTACTGATGGCCCTGTTATTAATAATCATCAACCTCTCTACTGCAAAGATCTCTGCCAACCTCACATTGAAGGTTAAAAAGTCAGTAACTGCATCCTGTCGTGTATTTATCTTCTAACAATCAAAGTGAGGATCACCTAATCAAAATAAAATGTGTTTAAAAGTCGTCAACAGTGAGAACAGTTGGTGGTTTATAATAATGGTGTTATTAGGCACACTTATGGGTACTGCTGCAGGGCTGCGATATCCGATATGAGCCCCACGGGTTGTGTATCCTTAGAGCTGTAGGTCAATATCAGCCCCTGATTGGATCTCTAGAATAAAACATGTACGACTTGTCTTCATTCTGTCTCCAGGAGACTTTACTGCATGTCCACAAATCTAATGTGAAATTGGCTGGAGGCTAAATTTCTATTTAATAGCTCTTGAGGATTAAACGTGTTTCCATAAATGCTCAATAGCAGAAGGTCACATTGGTAGGACCACTAATTGTATTGTAATGGCTTAGTATCATAGTAACAAACCAATAACTATAATTTGAAAGCCTTGTGAGTTCTCACCTTTTAATTGGACTTTAATTGGACTTTAGCTCTGACAGACTGAGCTTGATTTGTTTTGAGGTATATTCAATTCACTTTTGTAATTATTTTGTCTACCATTCAATTGCAAGTATGAGTTTGCTAAGGTAGTGACCCCGGTTATGAGTTAAACCACAAACACAAAGTAAAAGAAAGCTGTGGCGCTGCCATTAATCACTGGCCACTGGCCATACTTAAGTATACACCGGTGGCATTTTTGCGACACGCTGTCTCTACAAGTGCATGTCATTATCCAAAGAATCGCAAGACGGCGTCTTTTTGAAGACGATAATTAAATGCTTGGAGTTGGTGCCGAGCTGATATTAGCCAACGGCAACATCGGGATGTTCACAAAGGCGCCCTTCCCACTTGTGTGTGGGCAAAACCTGTTAACATGCTGTCTGCCTCCAGGTTTTACCCACCGGGGACTGTCAGAGTTACTGCTGAGGAGGTAAAACCTCCCCACTTCTAAAATGCCAGCTTTTCAGAGACAAAGACAGCCGTCGCTTTCAGCTCAATGGAAGTTCTGAGCTGAGCGCAAGTGGTCCGGATTTTCTCAAATTGTGGAAAACATGTAATCCTTTGATGTTGAAAGGACTAGAATCCCCTTATTCAGCAGTTAATGATGTTTTCACACAGAAACTGCTTTATGAGAATGCCAAATAAGAAAAAAAAAGAAAATAACTGAGATGGTGGTAAAGTCGAGCAGGGTGTAGTTACACATTCACTTTAACAAGAAGCAGAAAAGGCTACCAGGACGCTTCCAAAAGGGCCCGCAGGCTCTGTCACCTTCCCACAACTGTTTACAAAAAAAGAACAACTGGATGGCGTGTTGGCCGGACCCTTTGCTTTTAGTCAACAAATTCCTCCCAGATGAGGCAACAGGCTTCTGTTTCTGCGCAGCACATCTTACATACCATGACAAATAGAGCAGAGATGGTTTCTCTGCTTGCTCCTGACTGGGAGGTCAGATAACTTTAAACAGAAGGAATCGTTACTCAGGGCCAAGGAGGAGGTGGCTGGTTTTTGGCTGACTTTAAGATTGAGATGTACAGTTTAGAGATAAGAGTACTATAAAGTGTAGGAATGAGTCGTATTTTGTGATTTTAAAAGTAGAGCAGCTCTACACAGGTTGCACTTTAAGTCCGGCAGGGACGCATGGATGCTTCCACGCGATGTGATGGCAGTGGTGTGGAACTCATCACACGAAGGGCTTCGTATTGGACACAGCATATTTGTCTCTTGATGAACTACTTGCTGTTCTTCATCCACTTTCTCTTTGAGTCTTGTAAATGGTGTCATGTGTTCAGTGTTGGTTGACTTTTTTTCTTTTTTTTTTTTTATAGGGAAAAACTTCAACCTGGCTGCCAATTTTCTGAGGAGGCACTTCAACCTCAGATGTCTCGACAAGCAGCTCTACGGCGGTGCGTGACCATACTTTCTCAGAACCAATTTCCGTTTAAATGAATCAGAAATAATCTCGGTGGCTCGTACTCAGCTTTCCCACAGACCGAGCAAGTCATCTGTGGTCTGTATGTTGATTTTTCCCCCCTTCACTAGTTTTTATGTCCTGTCCCTACCTGCTCGGGGTGTTGTTTTGAACATGTGGCCATTAAGTGCCTCCCTGGAGAGGCTACTGAGAGTGGGAGAGAAAGGGAGAGAGACTGAGGGCAGTGAGAATCTATCTCCATGGCCCATCTAGTGCCTCTGACCCGTGGCCACCTTTTCATGGGACCAACATAGCTCTCTTCCTGTCAGTAAAGTTAATATTTGTCCCCTAGGGGCTTGGATGTTAAGGCAGAGAGGACGGTTTCTCTCAGCAGGTCCATTGCACATCAAATTAGACCCAGTCTCCTAAGGTCAAAGGTTGTGTAATTTGTTCCAACGAGTTAGCTGTTGTAAAGTCGTCAGGTCAAGTAAAAATTTCAAATCAGCTGTAAAGCAGATGGTTAGGAATCGCTGTGTTTTACAGAACTAGTTAAGCATGTAAAAACATGCTACCAGCTGAGGCTAAAACACTACGGGAATTATCCAACACATCTGATTCAACGTAGGAAACGGCCAAAACAAGGACACATTTGTTTAAGGGTGCCTTATGAGCCATGATGTCATTAAACCAGTTGGGGGTTTACAATATTCAGTAAATGAATGTGCTCAGAAATCTGCCTATTAGATGTGATCTTTTTTTTTTTACTTGAAATCCGAATTTTCTGTTCAATTATTATATATTTTCTAAATAGATGCATATTGTGTCTTCATCTTAAAAGGCCAAGAATACATCGATTTCAGCGGTGGGAGGGGCCTCGCCATTACTAACCCATCAAAACACGCACACTGCGTTGACAAGGATTATGAAGTTGCGGTTAACCTCGCTGACTAGACTAAACACAGATAATCCTGCAGAGGAAAGCTCTCACAGTAGCTCTAGTACTCAATTTGTCCGTGTGAATTTGGCTGACCTTTTATGGGATGTTGTGATAGCAAAGTTGAAGCAAGTGAAATAATCTTTGGGACAAATAGTAAAGCTCTCGAGTAGTCCGGCACTAAAACGAATACATTCTCCCCCGTATACGGATCTGTACAGACAGAAGAAAATATATCCGTCAGTAGCGATTTGTGGTTCCTTGACATGCGGCATGTGCTGCAGTTGATATAGTTTTATCTTGTGAATCTTGAAAAATTCGGGACGCTTGCCCACCAACACGCATTCGATTTAAGAACACGTTAAAATGGACCCGTGAAAAGCTCCTTGCTAATCCTCCTTCCGTACTCCACACAAGGTGTGTGTGTACACTAATGCAAGTTCTTATCCCGCTTAACCAAAGTGTGTGCATTGGCTTCATTTATAAATCCCCGATCCACACAACCAATGTCTTCAAAAATGGCCACTGAGGAGGAACACAGGCTTTTACAGCCTCGATTCCCCGCAGCTGCAAACCCTTTCGACAGAGGGTGGTAAGGTCAGCATGAGGAATGCAACACGAAGAATACTATAGCAGGCAGTAATGGTTCCGTAATTTGTCCCCGCAGGAAGTGATTCAGAATGAACGAGCAATGATGCGAATGTTGAACTTGTTCTGCGAGTAATCAAGGAACAGGACGCTATGTAACAGGCCACAGGTCAGCTGTTGGCCATTTTGGTGGTTGTGTGTAAGTCTGTTAATCTGGAGTTTGCTATATATAATTCATTTCTGTAATCGCAATGTTATTGTAAGCGGTGCTTACCTTTTGAAGAAGGCATATTACTCCCAAGAGCCATTGTTAGAATGTGTAATGGTTCATTATATTTACTTGGCTATTAAAGCCCAACAATTGTTACCTGCCACTTTTCCCTGTTGTGAGGGACAGTGAACACGTGGTGTTTGTAAACGTGAATTTAGATCGTAACGCCATTTCCCCCTGCCTGACTCGGACTCATAATCAGGGCTGAGCCCACATTATTAACCCGCGTGATCTTTGTTGTTCCTTCGCCCGCCTTCAGATCTGCGTGTGTTTCCTGAGCGGTACGTTGTGTGTGCGAGCGGCCCGGAGGACGCCGCAGCGCACCATGGAAACCCGAGCGTGGCCGCGGTGAGTGCTGTTTATACTCCTCTGTTTCCTCTTCCCGTCGCCTGGCAAAAAGCCCCGCATGGGTCTGTGTGTTATTATAGGGATGCGTTGCCAAATTGTGCTCTCACTTTATTATGCTGATCCTTGTAACGCGAGGAGGAGGAGGAGGAGGAAGGGGGGGGGGGCACTTTTCATATAGCCCGTGACGAGGAATGAGAGGGCGGCTACGAGGTGGACGGGGTCAGAAGGCGCAGAGTCACACCTTGCCCCAAAACATTCCTGCTCCCACTTTGTGTCAACTCACCCCGGCTGTGACATGTCAGGATCTCAAACGTGGGATTGTTGTATAGCTCAAAGTGATCGGTGGCCCAAACTAAATTTGCACATTTTACCGGCATAACATAACAAAGGATGAACTTTGTCTATCCTTTGAACTCGGATACACATAGTAAATATTAAGTGTAAACACTTAATATTTACTGTGTAATGTGTATCCAATCAATACGTCTCGTTCTGCGGTTTTAGGGCTTAACAGTGAACTACTACAACAAACTGTGTTTTTACAAGTGGGGATTCATTTAATGGGATTTTGTGCAGTTGACGGTCATGTGCCTCTTTTGATCACATAACATTGGGTTACCTGCAGGAGTGTGAGCTATATTGTGTGCACTGCCCGTGTCATAAGTCCTTCTTTTGTCCATTCATATTACGGACAGCTTTCATTTTGCCGGTGCTCAATTGATTCCAAATCCCCAAGAGTATTGTAGGAAATGTTGGTGGAGCCACTCACCTTGGCACTCACATCAAGGGCCGACATCTCTCCCATCACATCCCGGGATCGGCGGCCTGCTGTTTTTCTCTGGGGTTTCTGCTATTGTTTCCCTTTGAAATGTCTCTTGCGCCCTGCACAGCTTGGCTTCCAATGAAAGCAGTGATTGTAATATTTTTAGTGGAGCAACACAGTCGTCAGTGAAAAGTTCAGATTGTGTAACCAATTTTCCATTTCAAGGAGGCATTGCTGTGGATTTGCGTTGCTCTCCTCAGGATGTGGTTCTCTGGGCTCATACAGTACCGGCGCAGGCAGTCGGAGGGTGGGAGCCTTGTGGTGCAGCTCTCACTAGCCCGACCTCGAGTGTGGTTTGTAGGGGAAAGATACCAGACAGCAGGGCTCAAGTTTTTAACATGAAAAAAAAACAATTATTTGTTTACATCCTTCGCTCTGATTTAGTTTTTTTTTGCAGTGTTGCCAAGAAAGAAAGAAAAAACGTGAGCTACAGCTGATGTAAGGCATAATGTTTCTGTCTAAAAATAACGGGGTCTTTGCAGTTCAATGTCAAAGTTGGTCACATGTTTAAGAATGGATATTTTATCCCACAGCTCTTGACAGGACGAGCCTGCTGGTCCAAGCAAAACGTCCAATTTTCCTGTATTTAAGGATGTTTTGTTGTTGCGATTCAGTTGCTGTGACTCGTTGAACAAAAATCCCTAACCGCAGTGGAAATGTAAACTCCTCATGTTAGCACTTCTCATAAGGTCAAGGGGTAATGTTGTGAGGGAACTGAGGTGACATCATATTTGGCCTTTTTGGCTGCGAAGGGCAGCATCTCGGTCCCACGCTTGGGCATGCTGTGTGTCTGTTTCATCTCACGTGCTCCTATTAGTCATATTTTCAGCTGTGGGTCAGTGAGGAGAGGAGGTGGTAAGAGTTAGTCATTTACAGTAGTGTACGAGGGACTAGGAAACCACTTATTGTTCAATTTCAGTACTTAAGGTCAATACAGAAACCTACATTTCTGTATTATTATCCTCAGGAACGTATTGTGGTCACAACAGAGCTAAAGGAACAGTGAGTTTGTTCATCTGCAAAACAACCGCAGGAAGGGATAATATGTCAATTTTGTGAGTGTGGGACACGTGGGAAGCAAACCAGAGGCGTCTCTGGGACAATGTTTGTCTTCTTCTTAATGTTTTAAGTCCATTTTAAGTCCCTCGTGAAAAAGTTGCTCCAGTCGTGAGCCGGCGCCAGCGGCGAGGAGGGCGGCATGGGAAGGACGAGCGAGTGTTTAGGATTGTGGCCGATGTTTTCTGGTCAGGCGCAGAGTGGGCAGCTGAGGTGAGTGGCGTGCTGGGCCGCAGACGTTTGGATCAAAGGCAGAGCAGATGTGTTTCCAGCCCCCCCGTCCCCCCCGTCCCCACTTCTCTCCCCTCTTCCGAGCTGCGGACAAGTCCGCGTGTTTACTCACGACCTCAGCACGCCGCTGTTCCTCACAGCGCGCGCTGTGCTCTCCCCTTCGCAGCACAAGATCGCGTCCCTCCACTCGGCCCGTCTCAAGCTGCTCTCGCCGGGTCGCACGCAGTCCGTAACAGCTCGACTTAATCCTTAAACGTGGGTGGATCCGTGTCATTGTTCGGGACTATGTGTATGTGCCCGTGCATGTTTGTTGACTTTGTTTCAGGGAAGATGTGGCGAGCGTAGACAAACGGGGCACGTTTCCTCCGCGGGAGGAAGGTTAGGAAGGAGAGGGGTAGAATTTGTGGACTGGTTTCTTCGAATGACCTCTCTGCATGGGGCATTCGGGCCCTGGCAGTTAAATAGTGTTGTTTCTTGGTGCCAGGAAAAGGATTTTTTATGCTTTGTTGTGTCACCATGGAGCAGTTCAAAGGCTGGAGATAATAATTCAATTTGTTTAACTTAAATAGTTTTAGGGATTAAAGGATTTTTAACGGTATGAATCATTATCATGTGACAGATGACTGAATAACTGCCGTTTTAGGGTGTTTTTTTTATGTGTTGGATGAGACGTGAAGACATTAGAGTAACCCAAGAACAAACAATCCACTGAGGCACACATGAGCCGATGGTTGATCCGAGCTTTTCAACCTTAATCTGTGTTATTCATTTCGCTCATTTTCATGTTTTTAGTAGTTTTGTCTTCACATGTGGAGTCATTTTTTATTGTCGACCTCTCAGAGATTATTAGTGCATTGCTTTCAAAAGCAGCTGCCTCCAAAGATAACCAAGATAATCTGCCTGTGTTCCCACTTCATCTCAGATGACAGAAGAGAAACGGTTCGATCCCTGGATCATATGGACCCTCTATCCTAAAATCTGACATCCAGATGTGGCGTCTTGTTGCAGCCCCCGTGGTCGAGCCGCGCGGTTTCGGAGGCACCGTCGGTCCGCTCTGCGCGCTGCTCGGTGTGGGGGCGAGCAGACTGGCCGGCGGTGGGATGTTTGTTGCTGAAGGAGAGGTGGTGTTGGACCGAAGGTTCTTATTTACCGCCGTCGCTCCCTTTCGTGAGAAGCTGTCCAGCCACTGAGAGTTTGCATCATTTCATGCTCGACTAGAGCATCTCGGGTTCCCACACAATACTTACTGCTGTATCCACATGGCTTGTGTGATAATTACGATGTCGTTCATTCACCAGCTTACTCTCTCGCCACGTTTAATCCCCCTTTATTCTTCACTAGTTGCTATATTCAGAATGTCCGACCCCTGGCGATAATAATTCATGCCTCATTTCTCTCTCTGTCTGACTTTTTATCGTTCTTCCTCCTTCTTCTTTCTCTGTATATCCAACTTCTTCCTGTGTTCGTGCTTCTTCCTTCCCGTCTCCCCGTCCTTTCACTCTCTCTCTCTCCCTCTTGCTCTTTTGAAGTTTGAACAAAAAAGGCACAAAACTTTCCCAGAGAAACCTCCCATAGGCTTCTTGTTGATTTTTCTTTCAAGTTCAATTTTCAAACAGCATTTATTCATATTAAACGGATACGAATAAATATCAAGGCATTACAATGCAAATGAGGGCGCCCACATCTTTCTCAGAATCGTTGTTGTTGGGGTGGGCGTGCGAGTGCGTAGGCAAATGCAACTTTGAATGTGTGTCACTGTCCCGAATCCGAGGCGAGAGCGTAAGGACCGAGCCTCTGCTCACACTAGCATGACTCCATCCCCACACAAAGGGCGGCCTGTGAGCACTTCCTGTGTGAGGATCCTTGTGTTTGTGGGCATGCTGGAGAAGAGCGCTGAGGTCAGGCCACATGACTCGTAGGGGTTCCTCCTCTTTTGTTGTACGTATCTCTAAATTCTCTCTCTTTCTCTACTTCATTCTGGTATCTTGTTCCCTTTTTCTTGTCGTCTCCGCCTGCTCCCTTGTTGCCCAACATCCCCATCGATTCCCCTCCCTCCATCTCGCCTTTTGTCCTCCCGTCCGCCCCCCGCGTATAGGTCCCTCAACACCCAGCGCCACAATGCCACAACCCGCCCTTTGCAACTCGGGACAATTACTCCCCCCCCCCCCCGTCCTCCCTCGTCTTTTGCGTCACATGTGGGAGAAGACATTGATGGTTGTCTTCTCTGTGTTCATAGCAACTGGTGGAAGTCGGAGCGTACCGCATTGCTTCCTCCAGCCTTTGGATACAGATTGATCACTTTACCAACCAGTTTACGGGATAATAATGACCCACTTTAACTCAAGAGTGGCCCCATGGGGAGAAATGTCCGTCCGTCTCAAATATTTTTTGGTCAAATCGTTCACCTCAGTGAGGCACCGCGTGCACATGTTTTATTTGCAATGTATAAATAGCAAATATTGTATACATAATACAAATGGCAATGCTGGTGTGCCACAATGTCAGCAGAATAACCAGGCGGCAATATACTTTGCAGCAGAGTCACCACAGCGGCAGGTCTGGTTCTCATGACACGCACCAACAACCTTAACGATGCTACGGAGCACTTAAAGCACAGGCGCTTTGTCTCATTTCCGACGAAGCGCCTGCTGTCTCGTTAGACTTGAGCGTACAGGACTTGAAGGCGCGGCGTAATCAAGGCCAACACTGCCGAAATGATTAGGAGGTAACATGGGATAGGTATTTGGAGTACTTGCTCCTACTTGCTCCTACTTCCTCCTTTTTTCCATTCCAATTATTCAGGTGATTTCCGCGCTTCAGAGAAACCGCAATACTTTCTTTTACGTCACCTCGCATTTGTTTTTATTTGTTATCGCCAAGACCGTTACCATTCGGCTGGAGGCGGCCGCAGGTTGCGTCGTGATTCACACCTTTCCTCATCAAGCCATCGCTGCAGTCAGCGCCAAGTCTGCACAAGCGGCGCAAATCATTATCCGTGCACGCCGGCATCGGCCCCGCGGCCGTTGCCAACACAAAAGGGAATTTTGTGACCGCTGCCTCGCAGTCTTTCGTTAGTCTCTTATAAACTCGTCCTCCCGTGAAGTTCCAACAATGAGGTTGACGTTTGTGCCTCAACGATGATGGGATGGATTGCCCTGAAACGTGCAGAGTACTGACTATCTTTTCATCTGTTGTCATTGTCGGGTCAAACGTGTCAATTACTTTTGTTCAGCAGAAACCTGCAAAGCAAATCGATTTCCCTTCAGCCTCATAATACCTTATGTATTATTCTGAGTAGCATTTATTTTACCATTACAAAGCCAATAATAGTGAGCGGGGTGTTCGCATTGTCACTGTCTGCAAGTTAGCATGTTAGCATACAACTCAGATCATGAAGCTGTTCAGCTATAAACAGCTTTTTCTGGTAAAACAAATGTAATTAGGCTAAATCTATAAAGCGCAGCTTCTCTTCAGCCAACTTTTTTGATCCAATTAAATCGCAGTATATTGTCGGGCCGTCAACCTTTTAAGTTCCGCTCAATTTACCACCAGCGTATCTTATTCTCTTATCAATCAAGCGTCTGTTCTCGGTCAGCCAAGGAAAAGACCTGTGATTACCGTTCATTAGTGGCCTGTTGAGGGCACACGTTGGTGAGATGCAATCTTTGGCCGGTTCCCCGTTCTGCCTCAGCGGGCCCCTCTTTAGTTTAGAGAACTTTGAACCTGCAACTCACAGGTCCAGTAGCCACGAGGCTGCGTTCACTAACTCCAGCTGGTCTTATCTTCTCTCCTCCGAGGGGCTTTCTGCTGCTTTTTGCATTTTCCCATCATGCTCCATTCAGTTGTAATTTTCCTCTGCGGGGCTCCAACATCTTATTAAGGATGCTTCTTTAATCTGTGTTTTAACTTGTCAACATGGTTTCATCGTTAGTAGTCTTGCCTCCTCCAGGTCTCCGACGGCACAGCACATGTAACTATGACGAGCTGCTGATGGTTTTCTAGAGCCGGGGTCGTTGCTTTTGACAGTATTCAGTGTTATATGTCTATATATGTAATGTAATGTGATATATTTTTTTAATTACATTTTTTATTTAGTGGACATATATACATACGTACATACACATTGTGGGTTACACCTGTTGAGCACATTTTGACTTTAAATTATATTATTTATCTTATCATTTTTATGGCAGTACAGTGATTATTTTTTAAATGGCCGACAATGCCAGATGATGAGAGCAGGCTGTGAAGCCAGACCTTTCCAGGGGATGCCAGGAATAATGTTTTTTGTTTACATCGATCTGTTTGTCCTCTCCAGAACCAACTGGGCGAACAAAGCCGATCAGAATATTTTTCCAGAATGGGAGAAACCCAGGAGACTTCATACAGCCCCACAAAAACAAAGAAGACTGTGCTTCAGAAGATGTAAGTATGATCTAATGCAGAACTTTCCAGCCCCACCGAGGACACTCAAGTATCTGTTCCTGCCTTCTCATCTTTTAACTTTTTCAGAGCCAAACAAGTCCAGCAAGAGCTCTCTGGTTCCCGTGTAGGGGAACAGAAGATTGACCAAAGAGGGGAATTTAGAGCTGCAGAGTCAGAATTAATCCCGAAAGAGTCTGAATCCAGTTCTGGACAGAAGGCCCTCCCGGAGGCAGACCACAAGACTCCTTGTCCCAGTGCCTTACAGGAAGCGCAGATGGGGAGTTCTTTAAAGCCCGGCCTGGACCAGGAGAAGCAGACTGAGAACAGTCGTCGAGACAGCGTCGACCCGAATGGGGCCTCAGTTGTTTTCTGCCAACGTGAAATGAGTCAGGAGACAAGAAAGAGCAAGAGGGGCGCGCCAAGCGATGCAGGGGGAGACCTCCTCCCCACGGCGGGCCAAAAGGACGTGCCTTGGAAGACCTCCAGCCACAATGCAAACACCCGAGCGCGACCTTCTTCCTCAGCCGCCGTTTCCTCTCGGCCAATCCGAGGCTCTACCCGGGCACGGAGCGCGAGACGACCACACTCGAAGCAGAGCGGCTCACTCCGGAGAAAACGTACCCACAGGCTCCCCCTCACAAGCAATAACACGGCACAGACAAACCAAAACAGCCTGGCCACAAGTCTGAGGGGTCTATCTGTCAAGCCGGCATCCTCCAGCGCCTCTATTAGTTCCAGATCCACACTCGGAGAGGGGGGGCGGCGAAAATGTGCCTAGAGCCTCTAGATTACGACGCCCGAAGAGGTCCTGAGGGGGAGCCAAGCGACAGTGAAGATGCCTGACGCCACGGAGATGATGTTGTGTCAGGCTACGTGTTTACCTCACACGACTTTTGTACACGTGTCACGTTTTATTACAATGTCTGTCCTCTTTCACATGTGCTGTTCGCTCACACGGGGCCGAACACATCGCGGCCATTGATACACGAGTGTTTGAGTTACGCTCTGTCAAATACTTGAAGGCTTTGCCTCCACCCTAAGTGGTGGTCGAGAGAGACTCGCTAATGAAAGTCAAGAAGCTTTAATTTGGTTTTGTGTTAAAGATTTTGGGGATTTCAGACAGGCAGGAGCCACGAGTACGTCATGGCTTAGTCTGAAATACTGGCTCCTACGTGTCTGAAAACGCTCCAGTTTCCCCCGCTGTAGCTTTGGCCTGATTGCCGTCTCCAGACATATTTCATCACCCCATTTTCCAAAATGTACTCATGTTGTTGGATTTCATTCATATGCAATTTGCTCAATGTTTAGTTGCTAAGCCCCCCAAAAATGTATATTTAAATCTGAGGGTATTATGCAGCTTGTGTATTGAACTTAAGACAGCATATGTGTGGCTGTTTAGACAGTGACATATCAGGGGTTTTTATTTTGTAGGAGCAGGACACGGGCGGTCTCCGGCTGGAGTGCAGCTGCTGTCGTTGCCCCGGCGCTCGACGGGGCGGTTTGATCGCGGCAGAGATAGAGTGCGGGGCGACTAGAGGGGCCAGCAGCCACTCACGCTCACATGTTAAGCCCAAAAATGTTCCACTTGATGACAAGTTTCCTGACTACATTACTCCGGAGAGGATTTTTATTTTACTGGAAAGTCATAAATTTGTTTTTTCCCCCTCAGCAAAAATAAACCTCTGAATCGATGTGGAAATGGGTTGAGTGTTTTCTGGAAGCAGCCTGCACGAAACGGCATGCAGATCTCTGCACACTGTTTTCCTCCCATTCAGTCCAGACTGGCTGATGGTCGTGGCAGGTTGACAGCGGCGGCCTGTCCAACCGCGAGGTTTCTAATAAAGCAGCGCTTGGCCGTCTGTATCAGTGAGCGTAACCCGAGGGGAGCAAATTCTGTCCTATTAGAGACAACGTGGTGGATTAGTGAAGATGGCCCCACCGCTTTAAGTCCTTATATGGTTTAAGGTCAGAGGTGTTGATAATCTCTTGCTTTGGATTTAATCCTTTTAAAAACAGATTCGGCGGAGAAGTAAATCTGAAAACCAGTTCTACTGTATAGCGTAGGCTTCTCGGGCACGAGAGCTTGAAAGGTTTTACTTAAAACAGGGGCAACATTGTCAGAAGATCATGAGGAGAAAGGTGCTTTAATACGAGGGATTGCTACTATGTAATTAGCTGTAAACACATTTGGACTGAGCTCTTGCTCCATGTGGATGTTTGGATTGATGAATCACAGATCGACGCGTCACTCGCTCCCCAGAACAAAGGCAACTTTAATTCTTTTCATACAAAATATTTAATAAATATGACTTTCAAAAATATATTGCCAGATCAACACAATTCTCAAGTTCATAACAGTCAAAAGTAGAACAAAATGTTGCCATGATCTCAAAGGGTTAACAAATGAGATAAAACATGTTTGTCTTTAAGAGCCTCATTTTTTAAAAAGGAAATTATTTTTCGCAGACAAACAAAGCAGATTCTTGCTGAGCAAGGCAGCGTATTCCATCCAATTCTGTTCAAGTACTCCACCTCCAGCTTGCATCACGCTGACTAAAGCACATGGGAATTTTGGCGTGTCATTGTTGCGACTTTTCTTGCTAGTTGGTGGATTTTGACAGCCTCTTAAAAAGGAGGTATGTCAATGGGTCAAACAGCTGAAGCCGCTGAAGTCTTTAGCCACTAGTGGCAAGCAATATGTCTGCCACCAAGTCAGTCCCATGCTTCTTTAGTGGTCCTAACCTCACTTGCCTTCCACTCAAGGTCCTGGCAACAATTAATGAAACGTCAAATGTGTGGAAAAGCAACAAAAAAAGTGTTTCAGGCCAAAAGTGTCCGTCCTGTCTTATTTGGAATTTGGCTTATAGAATGCTTTGAAATATTAAGTCATTGAAAGAAATGGTTGGCTTCCACAGCTATCAAAACCTTCAAACTAGACAGAACATATAAATAAAAGGGAATGATATCTTAAGGCTCTTGATTATTAAGTTAATAAATCAAATATACACAATGATTAATAAAAAAAAAGAAATTTACATATCTACACGTTCTAAATCGACATAAATTCTTCATATTGGCAGCAACTGCTGTCATTGAAACCTGTCCTCCCCCTCCCCCCGGAAAATAAAAAATAAATAATAAAGTTGATCTTTTTTTTTCCTCATTTGACAGTTGCTGAAGTCTAAAGCTGAAAAGGCACTTTTCTCCAAACAGAGCTACAAAGAATTCAAACACATACTAAAAATAATTAGCTCTAGCGCTGAACATGTCGGGTAGTTTTAGTCATTGTACAACAATTACACCAGGAGCCCTTTCCATGTGTCCACTAAAAAAAAAAAATGAAATGCAGGACACTTTTGCGACTAGTTCTACAGTGAAATGTATACCAGTGCCTATTGTTTCCAGCAAACCAAAGCAACCGTCACTGCCAGTGTAAGCCAGCTTGTCAAAACTTAAATTAAACACGGGGAATAATCGGAAAATACTGTGGGGTCACGACTGACACGACAGTTTGCTAACCACGCACGCCGAAGCTCCCCCGTGTCACCCACCACCGGGGCGTGAAGGCATCAGGCTTGGTTGCACAGCAACACAGCTGTCTGCTATACAATATAGTCCATCCGGTTTATGCTGTTTGCCGTCTCCAAGTCTCTGTTGTCCTGTTTATTAGTCCAATTGGGGTGTTTGGATGTGGAGTTGGGATTGGAGACGGGCGTCTTCTCGTCCCTCTCCACCAGTGTGTAAGCTGGCTGTTTGGCGAAGCGGCCCTTCTGCAGGTGCCTCTCCTTGTCGTCCTCATCCCCCTCGGGATGATTTGTCCTTATTTTGGCAATGATGGAGTTCTTGTTTTCGTAGTCTTTGATGGCCACCGCGAGGCCCACGTGCTTCTCTATAGGGTTTTTGATCTGGTTGAGCTGCTCCCGCACGTTGTTGGTCGTGTTGTCTTCGGCGCTGGGGGCCGAGGTCCCGCTGTGGTTGCTCTGTTTCCGCCGGCGCCGCATGCACCACAGAAGAATGGAGACCAGCACGAGGACCCAGATGACGATGAAGATGGAGCTGAGGAGGGGCACTAGGTAGTCTGACGCGGGAAGAGAACACGTTCACAGATTATATAGACAAATTATTATGGAATGTCATGTGAAAATAATAAATTCCCAGCAAAACAATATTCATCAAAGTGAATATTACATGAGACAAAAGGCTGAGGCTGCTTCCATTTGGCCGCGGCGGCAGTCTGCTGTCACCGCGTTGATGAATTGAATGGCGGAAACATGCGGGAGTCTTACTAGGAGTCCAGCCAGTCGCAGTACGAGCCAATCCGAAGCCAGGTAGCCAAGCAGATCTGCTTTTTTTCATCCTAGCTAAAGTCTGTTTAAGCTCCATTACAAACGACATGCGATGGCAGATCTGGGCCGCCCAGGTTAGATATAATTTTTCACGCAGGCATTTCTCTCTGCCTTGCTGTCATTTTCAGGGCTTGGCTCTATCTAATCTTTAAAAAAAAAAAAGCAGCAGAATCCTCCCACCCACAGTGAGCAATTGTGGGAAACTTCACTGGCAACAAACGTTCTGAAAGCAGTGCATACCGGTTTTGCTGGCGCTTGGCACGCGCACTTCTACGATGGCGGCGATGATGGTGTTGTTCCCGTTGCGTTTGCTAACCAGGTCAATTATCCTGTCTGTGATCTCTTTGACGGGGCTCCGGTCCAAACAGTGATCTTCCGTGGACTAGAAGAGCCAAGAAGAAAGGGAGTTTTTAGAAATCTGTTGGTTTAGGTTTAAGTTCTCCATCTCGTCTGCCGTTAATCGTGTTTACTTTCTGTCTACCGACGACACAAAACAACAGAGCCTTAATCCACCGCGCAGCCCGTCAGAGCAGGTCTTAATGCTGCAGGCTGTAAATCAAACAGGATTCCTTTTCTTTTGGGGATGCATGAATGGAGGCAGACAAGACCTATGGCAGACTGGCAGTGAGAGGAGGTACTTACGATGCAGACGTGGATTTCATTGCTGGCTGAGAACGAGGGGTCACAGGTTATGGACACAGAATCCTCCGAGGAGAAATTCTTCACCGCGTACAAGCGCCTCAGCTGCTTACACACGTCCTCCACAGTTAGGCCCTGGACAAGAGGGGAGGAATGATGCAAATGTGAACGCGCACACAGGAAAAATGAGACACTCCATCGGGAAGAGCAATGAGAGCGAGCCCTGCGTTGCAGCATGTGGTTCGGCGTGGCCGGGATCCACCTCATTTAGATTAACGACCACCGGCTCATGCGCTCGTCACAATCTGCCGTCAAGCCCGTTAATCAACTGCCGATGATCCCATGTGGTGACGGAGTCGCCAGTGGTCCCGTTAACTCAAATCCATATGATCCTGACATTAATCTCGCAGTGCGGTCGGGTTAAGAGGGGATCGCTTGTGAATGCCCCGATTCTCAGAAACACAAAACTTGGGTGCAGTCAACAAAAAAAAAAAAAAAAAAAAAACTGGGAGGGAAAAAAAATATTCCCGCATTCTTTCCCCCATGGAACACATTTAAATACATGGCTGAATTACCAGAAATCCTTTTGCCAGGAGGGATAGTTGAGCACTTCGGAAAACCCGATCTTTCACAGTTCTCTGCTCCCATTCATTTAGGAGCATGAAAAATGACCCTTAAAACCCCTTTAATTCAATCTCCCCCACCCCCCCCCCCCCATTGGCTAGGGAACTCACTTGAGGCAGGGTCTCCTTGTTGAAGGTGAAGGTGATGTTGGCGCAGCTGTTCTCCTGGTAACTGGAGCTGGGGTGGCATTTGGTGGGAGGCGGGGGAGGGTTGGAGTGCCAGCACTCTCCCAGGTCCACGCAGGGTTTCACAAAGCAGTGGCCCTCCCTGATGGGGACGCAGCTCTGGCCTGACAGGCACCCACCTCGACCTTTGGCACCCAGATGGCAAGATGCAGGGCCACACCACATCTGGAGAGGAAAACACTGTTAAATAATGTCAGATTTAAATCAAAATAGGAAGATTAGGATAAAAAGAGCTGAAGAACTCCTCTTTGTTGAATATTTGGAACACCAGAGATTCAACACAGAGCCCAAAACCAGAATGCAAACAGATAAGAAAAAAGTGCAATCATGGCACCAGGCTTCCAGTCACCAATAATAGTGGCTCTAATTTCTCTGTCAGGGGTTATGCTTCTGCCATCCACACAAAAAACACAGGAGCTTCTGTCAGCAAAAGCACATTGAAACCCCCACAGTCGCATTCATAAAGCAGGTGACTAGTGCCTTACAGCCCTAGATCATTTGCCCCCTATGATGCATTTTCTCCTGGAGGGGAGCAGTATCAGTGAGGCGCCATTGTTCATGTGCTGGTTAGACTGGCTTGATAATGATAGCAGTACTGCAGGGCCTCTCCTGAATATCACCCAATGGGGCTTCGGCGCTGCAGATTTCCCACAGTGCCATTGTGGCTCTGAATAGAATTTGACACTCCCGAGACGACTCCTCCCTGCGCGAGCGTTGTTGTTGTTATTGTGGCCCGACGTCTACCTGCGCAGCCTCTGAGCCGTGGACCGTTTGTTGCACCACAGCAATCCTCCCATTAGTAAACATTGCGGTTCCCAGTTGGACAAAATACTTTTCTTATTCCTACATTTGGTGGATCGAGTGTGTTCAGACAAACCTTGGTGCACAAAACTTTCCCATTCAAA